ACCTCCAATATCTAAGCATTTTGTTACTTATGACAATTTCATTGTTCTCCATAATGTTCTAGAAAGTAAAAAACCCTCACCCAGACTGCAGTTCTAATTTTGGGTTCCAGATACTGACTCCTAGTCTTTTTTGACTATGTAGTAAGTACAATAGTCTCTCAGCAAATTCAGTGGCTTATACAGTGTCAGGTCTGTGAAGTATTTCCAATATCTAAGCATTTTGTTACTTATGACAATTTCATTGTTCTCCATAATGTTCTAGAAAGTAAAAAACCCTCACCCAGACTGCAGTTCTAATTTTGGGTTCCAGATACTGACTCCTAGTCTTTTTTGACTATGTAGTAAGTACAATAGTCTCTCAGCAAATTCAGTGGCTTATACAGTGTCAGGTCTGTGAAGTATTTCTTTAGTTCACTGTCAGTGTAGGAGATGCATGTCTTCTCTTCATCCAGTTAAGCTTCCAGAGGACACACGTGGGCAGCCAGAGCAGTAATAATCCCCTTTCCCTTCAATACTTGACAGAAGTATGGTAAAGGTGACCTCTGCATAGTATTACCACAGTGTTGTGCAGCTCTTGTGCTGCATCAGACAGTACTTTGGCCTATTTCCAGAGATTAAAGCTGCAGTATTGAGAGATTATTTGCATGCTAAAAAGACTGCTATAGGTGCAGAGACATTGCTTCACGTGGAAACTCCACTGCTGCACACTGCCATAAGAGGCAGTGCTTATAAAGACTCGGAATTTCTGGGGAAAGGGATACTCCATGTTTCACACAGCTTTTGAGGATGAGGATACATAGAAGATTAGAGAGGACAAAAATTCTTTGGTTGTTTCAGTTGGCTTATTTGTATTATTTTTTTTAGAATTGCATGACAGAATTATCTGATAAAATCTTACATTCCATGGTGGGATTGATCAATCCCATCCATTTGGTAAGTGACCAGGTGGGTATCAGTTAAGCCTCCACTCACATTGTCATCTCCAAACACCAGTGTAACAGTTCCCATTCAAAAGTTTCAATGAACTTTCATATGCTTTCATATTTCTGAATGTGCTGTTGCAAATTTTTCTCTCTCCACTACAGTTCTATGCTGTGAATCAGTTGCCTTGTCGTGGAAATATTTCTAAGGATTGTCTGTAGCCTCGTCTACAGTCAGAAAACAAAATCCAGCAACTAGTGTAGATTATAAGCAGAAATTCTTATCTTTAGCACAGATTTCACTGACTGAAGTCTGGGCTGTTCATTTCTTAATAGCCATTTAAAGTAATGGCCCAGCAACTCTTTTGACAGATAATGGAAACAATTTCCTTTTGGAATGCTGAAGTGATAAAGATGAGCTACTGCTCCAGAAAATTAACACTGAGCTTACACTGTGAAGTTACTATTAAGACAAGCAGCAGGTTGTTTACTGAAAACATTTTTCCAGCTACTTGACCAGGCATCTCCCTGGCATGTTAAGAACCATTTGTTTAGAAAATCTTTCACAGTTTCCACTTCTAAATAAAGAAGAAATATATTTTATCCTCCAGAAGTTCCTTAACGTTTATTGGTCTGTTCTAACAAAGCTCTGAGTGCAGACTTAGAAACACTAAGATGAAAAGGGTCCAGTGTGGACTCCTGTCTCACTGCCTGTGTAACAAACACCGTAGCATTTCAGTTGGAAATCTTTGCATTAAGACTCCCAGGAATCCAGGAAAGATGACTGCTTGTCTCAAAAGGTCAGACCCTGAGCATTCCTCTGCAAGCAATGCTTGCAGCAGGAGCTGACTGGGACTGCTGGCACTGAGCTCCTCCTTACAGTCTTTGCTTTGCATTAGCAGTGCAGAAAAAGAAACAGTATGAACAGCAATATCTGCTTCTGATAAACCTGTGCAGAGCATGTCACATAAGCACATGGCAATGCCTGCACCCTGGAAATCATGGATTAATTTAATTCTTTTAAAAGTGAAACAAAACAAATAGTCTCAGGCTACACTCTGGGGGACATGCATTCATGGACCAAAAGCACCTTTTCCTCAGCTGACTGACTCCCACACAGTGGTCTCCACTGAGCCCATGGACAGGAAGACAGCTCATTGCTGAAGCAAGTGTTATGCTGTTCTCATCCTTGTTTCACATGCCCAGTGGATTAATGAGAAACCACAATTTGCCAGTGCCGCTGCACATACAAAACACATTCTTTTGAGCAGAACAGCCTTGACATTAAAGCCTTCCTAACTTGCTTTAAGGAAAGAACATGGAGTGCTCTCACATATTCATATTAAAGAGGCATACATTTTTAATATGACATGGAGCCAAGTGTAAGCAAAAGTGTGTGTTGTCTTATCGAAGTCCCAAGTGAGCACACCCAAAAGATGAACCGTGCCAAAAGATCTTTCAACCAACCCCAACTGCCAAAGGAGGGAGGGGTAACAGCAGTGATGAACAACACAATAGATGAAAGGGAATGTTTGAAGGATCAGGATGTGTGCTATTAGGAAGTTGCTGAAGGAAAAGAGTATACAGCAAGAACAAATGTGATATTGAGGGGTAACTGATGAACAACACAATAGATAAAAGGGAAAGGGAATGTTTGAAGGATCAGGATGTGTGCTATTAGGAAGTTGCTGAAGGAAAAGAGTATACAGCAAGAACAAATGTGATATTAAAACACAGCCTAAGATATAGTATATTAAAAAATATTAATTAACAGAGATCAGCTACTCTGAAAAGATACACACTGCCTGGCACTGACAAAGCAAGAAGAACTATTGGAAAGCAAGCAGAGGTTTGAATCAGCCACAGCCAATTCCTCCCTGAAACTAATCAGATTCTATGGTGCCAAAAGGAAAAGGTCTATCCACACAGAATGTGCAGTGCTGAAATATTAGATTGACAATTTGTTTGAAATAAAAATAGAATTTAGATATTGTTTCAGATTACTAAATATTGCAAACACTGACTATCCAAATGGATCATCAGAAAAGAACTAGAAAGAGAAAAAACAACAAGCAAATCCAGCAATGCCCAGAAGAATAAATGGAACAGAAAGAACTGGAAAGAATTCAAGAGGTTTAACCTTCATTAGATAGAGATTATTGTAAATGCAGAAAGCAACACTGAAATAGACATAAATGGATATGATATACACAAGCTATAATATTTGTGGCCTGTTATTTCAAAGGCAATAGATCAACTTAAGTATGTGGGACAGTACTGTGATGCAGAACAGGACAGAGAACAAGATAAAAGTGGAAGATAAAAATGAGGTGGAGAATACAAACAGGGAAATTTAAGGAAGAACAAAGACAGATGAAGAGACAGGACTGAATAAGTTATCCAAGAAGATGAAAAGGATTTAATATGTAGCTTAGAAACATGGAATAGGAACCCATGAGCTGTAGGATGGAATTAAGTCAGCGATGCCATAAGGAAGACAGATGCATCTTTCCAGCAGGGAGTGGGAGATCTGTACTTATGCCTGCATATTAGAGGGCTAGGAGAGAGGTTTTGCTGCAGGAGTGTGGTCACCCTGCTTCCTACCTGAGATTATATCTCACCCATTTATTCTTGTGCAGGGTGGACCCTTCACTCACACAGATCTCTTCAGCAGCTCTTTGCTAAACCCAGTTTGTCTTCATTGTTGTACAGCACAACAGGGAAACACAGTCACTTTCTAGGCAGGTTACAGGTCTCTCAGCACTCTAGAATTCTACCTTAAAAAAAGGTGTTATGTCAAGTCATGCAGTAGTGTGCTCCCTGCTGCTTCACTTAGGACAGATGATGCACACAGCAGCTTTGGGCCATCAGCTGCCTGTAGCAGACCTGCCCTTAAATCCAGTGCTGCTGCAGCTCTCGCCTCTGCCTTCATGGCCTCACTCACTATGGCAGGGGGAGAGGGAATGCAAATGCTGATTTACAAGCACAGTGGTGGTATGTGAGGCAGACACCAAATGAGTAAGTCTTACACTTCATGCATGAGATTTGGCAGTTCTGAGCTTACAATCAAAACAGGAAAGCAGAGCTACAACTAAAGAGAGATGCAATTCTCAATGGCTTTTATTTGCATTCTCTAATGATGATGTGATGGTCCATTTTGGATAATGGCTCATAGTTGTGAGTCTGTAAAAATAGCTGGGCTTTAAGAAAGTTGAGACAGATTGGGAACCTGTCACTCTGGGGTGGAGAGGAAAGGCCAAGAGATGACTCACAGGTCTTCCCTAACTTCTGTTACTTTATTCTTATGGCAAGAAAGACAAAAGCTGATTATTACTGTTAATCATTATTGTGGCAATAGCTACACATAAAAAAATATTTTCACTGTGTTTGGGTAGTGTAGTTTTCCCCTCATGAGGGATTACATGAGCTTAAATACACCTTAGCAAATAAGTTATTTCATAATGTATTTCACAAGGCATATTAGATCAGCTGAATCAAGTGTAACACCACCCCAACCCTATCAGCTGAACAGTACAGCATCCAAATATTTTCCTCCTGGTGGCACAGAGAAACTGGGATGAAGCAGTTCTGCCAGTGGTGGCAGACTGGTGTTTGGCAAGACAGTTCACCTTTTCTCCACCTGTTTCACCTACTCCCTTTGCCTTCCCTACTTAGATGATGACAATATTCTCCAGTATGTGCTGTACTGGAGCAGCAGCCCTGGCTACATGCCTCAGGAGCTCCTGTTTGTCTGGCATGTTGGTGCTTATACTGGGAACCCAGGAGAACATGTCGTATACTTTGATAACAAATGACAGCAAAAGAGGTGAAACTCCCCAAATGGTCAGTGCTCTGTTCCCTAGGGTGTGGAAGCCTCCAGGGGGCACTGCAGCACTGAGGGAATTGCTGGGTTTCCATGGATGTGCCTGGGATCGCCATCCTGCTGCCTTCCAGGAGTCTGCAGATCAGGAGACCTCAAAAGCTGAAGAAACACATGAATTTGGCATCTGAGCACTGCCTGTGTGGTCTACATTATTCGAACTACAGAATGATCCAAACGAGCTTTCTAGATCTAGAGAGAAGTGCTGGAAGTGAATGGAAAATTAAAGTCCCATAAATAAACTGGCAGAGCAAAGTGACCTTGAAGAGTGTAGCACACTTCACATAAGAAACACAAGATAACAGAAATATTCAGTCTTTGCTGGGAGTGAGAGGGTTGATGTAGTGGGTTTCACACAGTACAAGTCAGGAAATTATGTTGCTTAGTTTGGAAATGAGAAGAGCATGAGAAAAAGTACAGACTCGTGAGGCAAGTGGGAGCACTGAGTAAAGATGAGGCAAAGCATTGCCAGGTGTCAGGGAGCAGGGCAGGCAGGCCAGAGGGGACTTAATAAAGGAAATAAGGCATTGAGAGAAGCCTTGAAAAAGGGCGAGTGCAAAGCAGATCTGCAGTTTACTTACTATTGAAGCTGGAGCGAGGGAGAAGAACCATGCCCCAAACTGAGCTTCTCTTTTTACATGTTTAGATGGCATCAAATATGTAAAGTCACAGTTGGAAGAAGATCACTTACTATTCTAGGCATGAAGATGCTATTTCCACATCCATTGATGTTCATAAGCACAAATTATCAAATCATGTATAAAAACCAAATCTAACACTGAAATATATAACCAAGAGCTGCAGCTAACCATCCTCTAAAATGTTTCCATGAGCTCGATCCAGGATACTTATAAAATGTATTTATCCAGTAGCTGGTGCTTGGTAATACATTAAAATGCACTGTGAGCAGATACAGTACTGCTGGGATACTTGAGTGTGTCCCACAAGACCTCAAAGTTTCACGAAACTTTTCTCTCTTGGAACAAAGGAATGGAAATTATTGGTTATTAGTGCATGCCCAAACATTTCTCTTTAACATCTAAAAAAGAAAAATAGTTTAAATTTAATAATAAAACACTGTCACATTGTCTTTTTAAATGAGATGAAGCATTGCTGGTTCATGATGTAAGATGTACAACACTAAATGGCTGAATTTCCAGAACTGGCAATTCTGCAGTTTACCAGTTGCACCCTTCAGAGAACAGGGTACTTTTATTAAATATGCTGGAGCTGTTGATTAGGATAAAAAAAGGCCTGAAAATTGGAGAAGTTGATAAAAACTTTGTATTCAGCAACTGTCAGGATTTGTGTTAAGAATAGCAAAAGTACTCACAAAATGTAGCAGATAACTCCTATACTCCACATATCTGTTTCATATCCAATAGGTTCATAGTTTATAACTTCAGGAGCCACAAACTCAGGTGTCCCAAAGAGAACTTTCAGAGAACCTGCATTTTCTGTAAAGAATGAAAGAGGAAACCATTAACTGCTGCATGCAGATTTCTAACAACAGTTATTCTCCAGTAACAGGAAACCCAGTTTTACCCTCATATTTATGATTCTGTGAAAGATCCTTATCAAAAGCAATAAATGATACCTGAACTGCCATTACTTAGCTGATACATATATAGCAATAAAGAATTACTTATTAAGCATCCTCGAGCACATAGCACTGTACAAGGCACATAAGAAGGTTCCTATTCCAAGGAGCTTCCCCAAGACCAAGTCTAGGAAAGGGGAGAACTTTCACTGTTTAATTCATATTTGGATGCCCTGAAGTATGAAAGTGTTTGAGCCTCCATCCCTTTAGCAGTTGCACAAGAGGACTGAAAGATTCCAGTGTTGAAAAGAAGTTAAAGTTTTCACAAAATATCCAAGATTTATCAAGGCTCAGGGATCTGCATGTTGTGGTAAAAAGGACCAGCAGTGATAAAATGATAATAATAATAAAAAAATAACAATTTCAATCCAACACATTTTTTATGGTGTCAGCAG